ATTTGTTTATAATATAAAAAAGAACAAATATGATATTCTACAAATACCATAAAATTATGATTGAATTGATATATATTAATTTAAAATTCTTAATTTATGGTCGAAGTTAAGGTAAAAACCTACCCACTGACATAAAACCTTTAATTTGAGAGTGGTGATATAAGATAATTTTTTGTATTATTTTTTATATAATTTTATATGTCATTAAATAAATAAATATACTTAATATTATGGTACCTAAATGAATAAAAAATTAAACGCTTAAATGATGTATAAGATTATATAAAAAGGTAATACAAAAAATTATCTCTAAACTATTTTTTTCATTTAAAATTAAAATTAGAAATTTAAATTTTTATAATCTCCAACTGCTATCTTTTCTATGTAAAAACTAATATTTTAAAAATAAATCCCAAAAACTAGTACACTTGGCATACACCAAAAGTCTCCGTAAAAGAAATGCTCGCAGTTCACACTATTAGATCCATCCCTAATACCACTCCACAGTGATTTTTCATAATATTTAAGATAATTTATTCATAACTTATTTAATATCAAATTAGCCAGTTAATTCCCCTCTCCCCGCAATTCCCATGTTAAAAAAAAAAGGAAAAAAAAGAAATAGCCAGTCAATTACTTTAGTGATATTTCATCATAAATATTTATGATAATTTATTCATAATTTATTTAATATTAAATTAAAATCAATTAATTACTTTCTAATGATATTAGTATAATTTATCCATAACTTATTTAATATTAAAATAATTAATCAATTACTCTATGCTGATATTTTATATTAATAAAATTTATTTAATTAGTTTATGGTGATATATATCATATTAATAAAACTTACTTAATATTTAAATATTCACCGGACTTCCTCGTGATGTTTACTTACACCACTGAGGAACTCCGATGGCTATTTTTATATTAAACGAGTACCTACAGAAGGAGAACTTATGCATATAAAGTACTTCAACAGCATACTAACGTCCGATGTGGGAATTTATGGACCCAAAACTTTCTACAACCGTCTTCCTCTCTTCTTTTCTGGGTGTCCCATCTCCATTGTTTCTTCTATAATCTCAGGAAATTTATGATTTTGATAGCATTTCTGGGTTAAATTGTTGTTTATTGATTCATTTCTGGATCATCCGTGGGGGAAAGGAGACGCGTTGTGGTTTGGGAATGGGAATAAGAAACTTGGGTTCTTCTTCTTCTTGAGCTGGAGCTATGACCCAGAATAACAGGGATAAACCCAAGCGGCTTTATCAAGTTTGGAAGGGAAGCAATGTGACTTCTGATAAACTCATCTTCTGTCTCTTTCTTTTTGATTATGTTTGTGTTGTATTTGCAATTTGTATATGGAGATTATGATCATCGGTTCTGGTTATTTCTTTCAATTTCATTTTCTTGATAAAGGGTTTTGCCTTTTAGTTGGCAGATGATAATAGTGTTTTTGAATGAATATTGTTCTTCTGTTAATGGTGAAACTTGTTCTTGTTTTAAATTTTGTGGCACGGTTGAAGTGTTACCTGTCTTACTCTGCTTACTTTGGGACTTTTGGTCGGAGTCCACCAAAATAGTGGATAATT